CATTATATTTTATAATAAAAATATACACTTATTTATCTATTCATTTGGGACTCTTCCCTGTAATTCGCTCAATTATAGGGTATACAGAACACGTCAGTATCTTTATGGCATTTATCTACTTGTGTGCTGCGTCCGCCTGTTTGCGAATTGGCTTGCTTTTAAATAATTAAACTAATCCTCTGATAGTGGAAACAAAAATTGTATGTAACATTTGTAAATTGCATGGCAAGAGAGAAATTGACATAAATTATTTTGTTATTATTATTGCCAATTACGTATTAGCTTTGCATAATACTTGTAATGCAATTAAAAATCACAAAATATAAAAAGAAGAAAAAAGAGAAAAGAAAAAAAACTTTAAACAAACTTTACTCTTAATTAAACTATTATTTTATTCTATTCAAATGTAATAAAAACTTCTATTCTATTTTAAGATGCAACTTTTTAACATATACTACTGTATATACTATATATTGAAATCAAAAATATGACAAAGGAGTTATTCTGTTATTCTGTTTAACAAAGCTTACTCTATATGTATGAGCAATCTGCAAGAGTGCTGCCCATCTTAATTGATAATTTTCCGTTCTATCTTTCGCTCAAACACCGATTTTAATAAACCACTTTATAAACTTAAGAGTCATTACGAGTCAGTTCAACTACATCAAACTCTTTTGAGTTATCTGCTGACGTCAAAGAAACTGACACTAGAAGATTGATACAAGTAAGATTTGAGTTGAGCTCTGCCGATCTCAGAAGAATTCTTCTAAAGCTAAGCCCCATTTTGACTTTTAAATAGGTTAACACTTGACTCGCTCAAATAGAATCATCTTCTTAGTTTGGGAATTTTTAAATACAAATGCAGAGTATTAATTCATCAAAAATACCACGCATATAACGGTCCTTGATATAAATAGCGTGGTGAAACGCCTCCATTGTATATATCGAAATATGTTTAAAATTCATCGAATGAGTGTAATCAGGAGTAAATAATTCAAGAGCACAAAGGAAATATTGTTTTTATATACGTATAAATGGAAATAATATAAACTATTTGTATATAACAAAAAAAATAAAATTGTTAACTGCATTATCAAAAATGAAATCTGAAATAAATGAATACATTTTTAATGACAAAAAAAAAATGAACGAAGACGGTGCTACCCCTACTTTTGTTAAATTGTAATTCAAGGTAGACAAAAAATTTAAGTAACTCCGAAAATGTTTTCTTCTCAAGCTGTTACCAGAGATTTGCAGTTTTTGCTTTAGTTTTTATATACATATGTATATTTCTATTTTTGTTACTTTTTTTTTGCAGTTGTCATTATGTGCGCCGATCCGCAGTCCATACGTCAAATTATGCTGACAGCCGAGGAGTTGAATATGATCGATAGCGGCGAATATGTATTCATCAATATTGAATTATTTTCGCGGTGAGTACAAATACAAGTATCAAATAAATATATAAATTACTCAGCAAGCCCAAGTATGGAGCAACAAAACAGTAACAATAATAACAACAACCACAATGAAAATAATAATAATAATAGCAATAATAATAACGTCAACAATCACACAAACTGATCATTTGTAGCAATCGCTACAGTTTTTGGCCTTTCACTTTGGCAAAACATGCGCACTTCGAATATTCTTTACAAAGTGCGCATAATACATGTTAGCCAAGGTTATTAAAATTATGAAATTTACCAACAAAAATAGCTTTAAGCGATTCCAAAATGCTGACCAGTCAGCAATTAATATCTATTTATAAAACGAGGAAATTCCGATATTCGACACATGCCTGACTTGACCATTATTACCTCTAATGGCCAGCGAAGAGAAAAAAATACTGATTCGCGTCAACACAGGCCCCCCTCCAAGCCCCCTCTTCCTCTTCCGTCACTCCCCGCTCATCATCTATTATAGATAGCTGCTGTTTAATTACTGTGATATCTTAAATTAGCCGAGTCATTGCTTCCTCGCACCCACGTATAACGCTCGTCTTTGTATTTGCAATATTAACTAAGCCGCTCTTTAAGATATTCTATTTATAGATTGATAGCTTTTTATTTAAGTGACATGATAGTTGAGCTGAGCTAACACGACTATCAAATTAATTTGCAGTCGATTTCAAATCGGCGCGACTACGAAATATCCTGTAAACAGCTTCGAGCTGCTGGCAGACATTTTTTCTCGGAAGATTTTCGTTTCATTTATATTTCATAGATTTGAAAACTCATATAACTAAAACATATTCTAAAAAAGAATTAAATTATAATTAACAACGTATCTTTATAGAATAATTTTATGAGACTTTAACTTTAAACAATTACCTTAGCACATCAACTATCCTGTGTTCTAAGATATTAGAAAATACTTTTTCTGACTCGTCACGCCCTTTGTGGGCGAATCAAGTTACTAGCATAAATAACGAGGAAATGGCTTGCACTCATAAGGACAGACGGACAACTAAACGGACATTGCCCATAACCCATATATACTCACTTCACTTTCCTGACAGTGTATAAATATTAGGTTTTCTTTACATAATCGAATCGGGAAGTTCTTGACACACAGCTACACAGGCGCTTTAGTTATATTTGTGTCTTGTTGATTAGTAAATTTCAAGCTAAGTTTTGCTCAGCAATGTAATCAATGACATTAGGGGGTCGTGCTGCCTGTTACTCCTACACCATTAAATAAGCAACGGCACATTTACAGGTGGGGGTACATAAATAGCAAATATTTGCAAACACATACTACGCGGCAGTAAAAATGGGTGAGCAGAACTAGGCAGATGGCGGGGCTTTCGTTCTCTTTTGATATGTGAGCGAATAATCGGAATTATTTGTATATGCATTGCTTGTAAAGCTGGCTAATCGCATGACCCCAGTGAACTCGTAATCGATCGAAAATATAGCGAATGAATAAAATTCATCAGACTATGTGCTGCATTTACTATTGCATTTCCTGATATGGGCTCTAAGTTCTACGTAATTTAGCACGAATCAAATTGAATCCATGCTTAATTGCTGCTGAAACACAGTTGATCAACCATTGATATAACAATTTAATCTCCTGAAATTCATTGAGCACCAGAACTAGGCTGAAATGTGGGTTAAAATTAGCTTATGAATTTACATTTAACCACCTTATATTGATTCATGCTCAAACTGAGCTCAGAGTGTGGAAAAGTGATTTTTTTTAAATAGTTGAAAACAAATTTAAATTGCTTATTTGAACCGGCTTGGGTGAGTTATTGGCTCTCTGTCAAACCGGTTCGAATATGCAATCTCAATTTGTGCTTACACTCATTCACAAATTTAGAGGAGTATATTAGTTTCATACTTGTGCTTTTCTGTATTTTATATTGCGAGAGACGAATTGCGAAAAAGGTATAGCATCCACAGTCATAGAGCATCGATCAGCAGAATATATTAAATAACTACATATTTATTGACGAAATATTCGTATTTAAATTTAACAACACTCCAAATATGATATAGGAGATTATGGTATTACAGAAAATTCAATGAAAATTCTTCTACTAATAACCTCGACAATAACTTACACATCAAAATGTAAATTCAGTTTTTTGACCAAGATAAACAAAGTCAAATTTTGAATTGTATCTTATAAAATACCAGAAATATATGTTTATATATATAACAAATATACTACAAATATAAACAAATCCTCAGTTTAATTCGATATTTGTCTTCATTTTGAACACTATTCAAAATTATTATTATTAATTCACTCAATCATTACGCAAATTCAATGTCAGTCCGATAAATCTGCATCTCATTCGGCCGCAACAATCCACGTATTTCTGTCAGCATGATCTTATGCCAATGTAATTTAGCTCAATTCCCAGCGTTACACTAAAAAACTTTGTAAGAAACAATATTAAGCTTATTTTTAAATTAAAGAATATATATATATATAAATTTACATGCAAATATTATTGATAAAAACGGGTTAAGCTTCAGGACAATATAATCTAATTAGTTTTTCTAGTGATATAAATTTACTTTTCAAAATAAGCATACGTAACTCTTACGCTTTATGAAGCTGCAACAAGCTCTAAAAGCTGAAATTTTTGGCCAAGAGAAAATCTTTTCCGCATCAACAGCAGCAGCATTCTGTGCATTTAGCCAGGAGCAAATGAATCTGTTTACCAACCATAATCGATTTGCGGTAAATGTCATTCGCTTACTTGGCACAAAGCAGCTGACATTGAGTTGGCAACACAAACAAGCTTTCACTGATAACAAGAACATGCACTATTACTGTGTAACGAAATAAATTAAAAAAAAAAAAAAATATATA